CGACGTTAATGCTAATTCAGCTGGTGTTGGATCGAGTGCTTCCACAAATCTAAATATGAATAATGGCGTTGGACCAATGTCAATCAATGGAAGCCCCAGGGTAATGGCCAGAATGCGTAAACCCAAACAAGCACGAAAGTAACTTGAGTTCAAGGTTCAAGTGTGCAACGGTAATTTGTTATTCTCATCATTATTAGATTACATCAATTGTTGATTATATGGTTTGCATAAACAACTGTACTCGACTGTTATAACTATTTCAATGGGTTCTAAAAGTGACAGATTTTTGATATTCCAAACAATTAATAAAGCACTGTGACATTCCACGTGATGTAATTCATCACGTGGGTAAAATCAATAAATAAAAGAGATGAAATTGTTCTTTTTTCGAATGAATCGTGCAACAATCGTTTCGTAACTCGACTCGAAGACACAGGACAAAGGGAATTCACGATGAGCGGTACTTTTCCAAAAACAGTCACCGATTTAGATGGACACAAGATTGATGTTGAAGATCTTTTAAAGCATTATGTGTTAATCTTTATAACACTCAAGGTAGACGAGTATATTAGATACCTCTTACACGGTTTTGACAAATTCCTAATTCTTATGCACCAACTGAAAGTCTACGTTGTGCCCTGTTTGCCCACAACTATTGTTATTATTAAATTTACACGGGTTGCAAGATAATCCGCCGGCAGAATTTCGGGATCCATTCGATTATTCGGTTACGCGGGTCCCTCCAGAAGAAATTTCAGTATGTTGTGTCGAACAAAGATTATAAAATATCATGTTTATATTTATTCATTTATCAACTAATTTTTATATTTACAATCATTTGCTCACAAAAACACGTCCAGCTCAACCGTCTTCTTCTTAAGACAGATGCCTATTTCCTCGTTCTATGTCCCGGGCCAGTAGAAGATGTGCGACGTATAAAGGAAAGTTGCAATTTTCCTTATCCGTTTATAGCGGATGAAGATTTATCCATTGCTTCGTCGATGAACCTCATGTAAGTGAATTATTGCTTTGTTTCGTCAAATTAATTCAGTTCTAATTCATACTTGGCTTGACTTTAAAGACTAAGGAGTAATGAAATACATCCATTCATCGGACGTATCCTTCCATATACTCGCCATGTTCATTGTATAAGTAATTGGCGGGGCCCTAAATTTTACGGTCATGATGATTTGTTAAAGTATTTACTTGCTTATCGAGTCAGAAGTGAAAAGGATGCTGTGAAATACATTGACGAAGCCATGGAATTGGACACACGCTTGAAAAATCCATTGGCCACAGAGTTACTAGATGTAAACAATTCACACCAACAACTACAAGCAGAACGCCAGGTGATCTTGCAAAAACAACTTTTACCTGTAGAGCTACTCTCTCAGATATTCGAATATTTTGAACCATTGGAAATTGTAAAATCCTCTATGGCCACATGCCGACAATGGAGATCCATAGGGCTTGAAGTGATGGTGATGAGAATGAGACAACAAGCTAAAGATGTTTCAAATTCGATGGTAATCTGCTCCGAACCAGCTTCAAATGATTCGATTAAATTAGGCACAGATAATGAAGGTATCGAACATTTTAATCAACGAGTAGAAGAACTGGCTAAAGTGATTAAAATTGTTCAACGTTTGGTAGTATGAATGATAATGCTTCGTAATCTTTGTATATTTTTTAAGCTTATATTCAGAATCTTCGATTTGCATCCAAATTATTAATAAAGTGTAAAATTAGTAAATGCTGAAAATTGTTATGTTATGCTACAATCGTTTAATGTATTATACAACTTCTCGAGGAAAAGGGGTAATTCTTCTTTATTATTGTTATTATTCTTATTCGATAATTATCAATTCATTAATGCGTGTTATTCTTTTTTTTTAACCTGTGATCAGAATTTACTATAATAAAAAAAATTAGTTATACTTTCTGTTTTTGAAAAATTTCAGTTAAAAAATAATTAATGCTTTTACAAAGAATTAAAAACAAGTTGAAATATACGATATATTATATATTTTTGAGAAATGGATTTGCGATTTGATTGTCTGACATCTCGTGATTCCCGGGCATAGAAAATTTGAAAATCCCCGGTGACGTTGTTGGTTGAGTTGGAATAGTTGGTAATTCGGCTTTTTGAGAACCCAATTGAAAAGTGAATGAGGAACTTCCAGGCATCATCATTAGATTGGAACTTTGCCCTTCGGAGGGCGCCGTTTTAGGAGCCAACAATACATTGCGTCCTTCATTACCGGTTGATTCATAGGCGCGTTTGCCTCCTCGTTTCCTGAAGCTCTGCATTCGAGACTTAGAATTATAATTTGACGGTATTTCTGTCGAGGATGAAATTTCCACCGGGTTGAAAACATTGAATGATTGGTTACTGCTGAAAGCAAAATTTTTCCCAAGGTTTCCTTCAAAACTCTGACCAAAAGGCGTCGAGGTGAAAGACAAAGTGGATGGAACAGAGACCTGATTATTCGCGTTGTTCATATCAATATCCATCGGGGATCCGGAAAGTGGGCTCGATGTGAGAGTTTGTGGTGGATTGTTACTAAAGACGAATGAAAATTCCTTGGATTTGTCATCCCCGATGGTTCCCTTCGAACTATTCGTTACCATTGATGACAAATTTGACCCTTTGGATAAATCGAAAACTCCGTCCTTTTTTGGTTCAATTCCGTTTTCGCTATCCGTCGATTCGATTGCGGTCTCACCTTTCTTTGATTCGAGTGCGACATCATTCTTCTTTAATCCTGCTGGTTTCTCATCCTTATTCACTTCGCCTGTGGCATCATCCTTATTTACCTCGGTTGTGGTCTCACCCTTCTTTAGATCGAGTGTGGTGTCATTCTTATTTGACCCAAGCGGGATCTCATCCTTATTTGACCCGAGTGCGGTCTCACCTTTCTTTGATTCGGGCATGATTTCACCCTTATTTGATTTAACCAAAGTTTCATCCGTTTTTGATTCAGTCAAGGTTTGACCTTTTGTTGATCCGGCCGTTTCAGTTGCTTTGGATGTTTCGTAGTTTAATGTTTTAGATGTGTCTTCATTTTTATCAACCCTATTATCGTCGTTTTTAGGAATGATTCCTTTAATTTTACCAACTGAGGAAAGCTCAGAACTTGCCGCGGGTGAGGGATGTGTGAATTTGTTTCCAAAGTCAAAATGAAGATTGGTCGAGTTACTGGCTATCTGATCGCCAGATGTTCCGAAGTTTTGAATTCTGCCGAAAGGTGTTGAAACCCTTTTTGTTTGATCGCCGGGAGTTAATGCAGGCTCGCTTTTCGGAGCGAACGCGGGTTTAGTTAAAGTTGCAGGGGTTGTCTTTATTATTTGATCATCGGATGTAACGGAGGTTCCAAAATTCAAAGCAGGTTTAGTTGAGGCTGACGATGATGAAGGCGAGGGTTTTTTTATTTGATTATCGGGTGCAGTCGCAGCTGAAGGAATCATCCCAAATGTGAGCTTATTGGACTCGGGTTCGTTAGAAGGTTTATTTGTCAGGTCGCCAAATGTAAGTTCGAACGTAGATTTAGTTGAAGCAACAGGAGTTGAATGTTCTTTTTTATGATCACCCAGTGTCCCAAATGTAGGCTTGTGCCCGAGATCAAACATGGGCTTGATTTGAGTATTAGGAGTTGAAGATTTTTTTGATTGATCATTGGGTGTCTCCGGATCGTTTCCAAA